CTGGCCTGGCTCTCTTGCCTCTCCAGCTTCGACTTGGAGGGGACCCGTGCAGGAGCGCCATGTGGAGACACCTGTAAGAGGCACTTAGCCGAGACTCCTGGGCAAGGGGCCCGTGGGAAGCCAGCTCCTGCCCTCGCGGGGTAATTCCACTATCTTCCCTGGGACTCTGGCTTTAAATGCCGGACCTCGCCTGCCCAGCTCTCTGTGGCCTCCTCACCCATTGATGGTCATTCCTTGCCAGAAGGTGTCTCAGACTTGTGGCAAGCTGCTGGGCTGACCCTGTTTGGCTGGGTATTTGCCCACGGGGTAATTTGGGGGTGGGGGGGTGGTCTTATTGGGTAGCTATTATAAGGAGTGTCCTTTCTTCTCTCTCTGTTCACACTAGTGTGGTCAAAGGCCTTTCACACTGAGCATCTGTTTCCTTGGCCTCTGCATGGTGGATGCCTGGTCCTAGTGACAGTGTCAGCTTGTCTGGGGCTGTCTGTGTTTTAGTACCAGACACCCCCTCCCCCCCCCATCTCAGGAGTTCCCTTGGTTCGTGGCAACCTGCGGCCCTTATTGACTCTAGCCTCACCCCTCGTCTGTGGGGCTGCCCATATTTAGTTCCAGTTTCGCTTTCGTGATGCTCCATGCTCTCCCTGGGACTTCTCACCTCTTTCCATGACTGCAGATTCCATCTGCATGGGGCGAGCCCCATCTCAGCTGCAGACCCTTGAGTGAACTGCCTGCCAGGCCTTCTGCTCAGAAGTACCCTGTCTACCTCTGACCTAGCTGTCGGCACACAATGGGCTCGTGTCTCTGGTCTCCTACGGCAGTGAAGAGCTCCACTCTCCACCCAGGGGGACGTGCCCAGCCCTGTCCAATTCACGACTGAAGCGGATTCATTTTGACTCTCTCCAAGTATCTATTCCCACCCTCACTCCCTCATGTGGGTCATGCCATCTCTTCACCCTGGTCAGGACAAAGTCTACAGGGAATCTCTTCACCCTGGTCAGGACAAAGTCTACTGCTGCTTCCTCAGATGGTGAGAAGTACGGATTGAACTGTGTTCCAAAAAGTTTTGTTCAAGTCCTAAGCCCGATACCTGTGAATGTGCTCTTATCTGAAAATAGGATCTTTGCAGATGTAATCAAGTAAGGTGCAGTCAGTAGGGTGAGCCCTAATCCAGTATGAATGGGCTCCTCTGTAAGAAGAAAATGCCAGGTGAAGACAGAAACTCACTGGAAGCACAGCCCATGAGGGCAGATGCAGAGAAGAGATGATTCGGATGTCAGCCCAGTAATGCTGAGCCCTGCCAGCAGCCGCCGCTCAAGCTGGGATGAGGAACGGGAGATTCTACCCACACAGCCTTGTTGACACCTTGCTTTTGGATGGCTGGCCTCCAGAGCCCCGAGAGAATTTGTTCTGTGCTGAAGTGACTTTGTGATGGCATCCCAGGCAAACCAACACCGTGAGACATGGCCAATTTTCATGGTTTATCTTTTCAGTATTTTAGAGATTATCTGTAGTGTCTGATACGATGTTATGATCAGGAAAAACACATCTATTCTTGAAAAGAAATATCCACTCAATAGGAATCTTAAACACCCTATTAGATTTCTCTGAGAAGTGAAACTATCTACACCCAACCCCTTACTGTCCATAGGAGCATAGCTTTATTATTTCACTGTCTTCATCAACATGAGTTCCAGGAATCTTTTGCCCCGGTATAAAGCCTGAAAGAATGGACTTGTTGAATGCCTTCTGTCTGCAGAGATTGAACTAAGCACTCGGCGTGTACCCTTCCAGGGATAAACAACCCAAAGAGGTCAGAAACGACCCTGTTCCGGAGCTGGGGAGCCCACTCTCTCAGGACCAGCAGCCCAGGGCCACTGTCTCAGCGAACACCAGCACAGACTCCAAGGCCTTCATTCTTATTGCTCTTCTGTTTCTGCAAATTGAACAAGACCCTAACACAAAACACATGGTTATTTGGTCTGGTTATTTGGGAGGAGCTGATGGTGTTCTGCTTCCTATTACTCAGATAATTGCCTTGAGTGCACAGACTCCATTCCCCTGGGAAGCCCTCACCCACCAGGTGGGCAGCCTGCAGGGGAGTCGCTATGGAGAATTCCAGCCTGGGCACCCAGGACTGTGTCTCTGCCTGGGCCTGGAGAATATTAACCATGAAAGGCACACGGACTTCAGTGGAAAACAAGCAATTATTTCGGGCAGTCGTATTTCCCACAAAGCCGCGGGGCCACAACTTAGCAGGGAAGAGTGAGCCCGCCCTTTGTACCACCACCGAACACAAAGCTCATTGTTTTGTTTATGCATCTTTTATTCCCGGGCCTTGGCTAAGGCTCCAAGCCAACCTGCAGTCTGGGTTCTTTCCTTCCCGTTCAGTAGCAAATGTACATGTTTGCTTTAAAGTAGGCAGAATTTGCCCATGGGTGGTCTTTGATTTGGAAGAAATCAACTCTAGAGTGTGGTGACAAGCCAAAATCAAAGGTGACTTGCCACATTCGATGCTGAGGATATGAAGTGGTCGTGTGCAGAATTCACTTACCCAGAAGAAGAAGTTAAAGACGAAGAGTAGATACTTCAGGTAGACGATCAGCCAGTCGTCCTGCTCAGCCTTGTACTGCGCCATGGCTGCTGGACCTGCAAAGCAGATCCGAGTGTCGAGCCGGGGTCCTCAGAGGACCACTCTGTCCTTCCCTGAGTCAGAGACCCTGCCCAGCTGTCCTGCCCAGGGCTTGCTAGCTGTGTCCAGCTAGGGGGTCTGAGGCTGCAGGTACATTGCCTGGAGCAAAGACCGGGAAATGCAGAGGGTACGGAATGTACCCATCCAGGTAATTGGGCAGGATTTTCTAGGCCTTTGGATTTTTTGGATTTTGGATTTGTCCTTTTTTTTTTTTTAAGATTGATTTATTTATGCATTCAAGAACTGGAGTACAGGCCAGACATGTGAGGTGGGGTGGTGAGAGGATTCGCCAGAGACAGAGTGGGGAGCAGACACTGCTGAGGGGAGCAGTGGGCGAGACAGGAGAGGTCTGTCACACCATGTGGGTCACCTCCCTGGCCGGGGATCAAACTTGCGCTGCAGTGGCTGCTGATAGCTTCCGGGCGCTTTTGCTTTAACAGTTTGCGCCACCAGGGAGGGCCCGGTTTTGTCCTTTTGATCAGGCCTAACCTACGAGTCTTTCCAGAGGCCTTACAATGGCCTTGCTGTGTTATTATTTTCTCCTCCTGTCCCATCAGGGGTGCAGAGTACAAGTTTACCTGCCCTCCCCTCTCCCCACCTTTGCCTTCAGATCTTGCACTCCGCATCATCTTAACAGGACCTCTGCATGCATAGGTGAAACAACAGCCCCCAGTCAGAGCCTCGGCTGCAAAGGGCCTTGATGCTCGCCCTGTTCCCCCAACCTGTCCCCTTACATGTTGACTTTCCAAAGGAGGAAGCAGGCTGACAGACTAGTGGTTGGAGGAAGAAGTTAGTACATGAGCCTCAGGAATCTGGCTCCCTGGGGTCCAGCCCAGGTCGGTCACAGAAGGTGTGAGACTTGGGCCAGTTACACAACCTTCCATTCCTCCAGGTTTAAGTGGTGACAATAATGATATCTACCTCATGGGGTTGTTTCAAGGATTCAAAACGATAATCGACATGAGGCATTTAGCACAGTCCTTGGTGACCACTAGGTGTTTGGCAAACCTTAGCTATTATTATGACATGTAGCAGGATTAAAGCCCAGGCCCTGCACCCATGCACCGGCACACACACACACACATACACACACACACACACTCACACAGACACACTCACCCAGCACCTGCTAAATAACAGCCCCTTTAGGCAACCTTTTGTTCCAGAGCCATAAGCAATGAGGCCTGGGTTTTGGCCATTCTCATCTCTTCCTCCCTCACTCCCACCCTCCAGCCTGGCTCCCCTGGCCCCTACCCCTGCCCAGCTCCTTCTCCACACCTGGGCCTGAGCCCAACTCAAATTGCTTCCTCCTGAGTCACTGCTCTGCCTTTTATTTCCAGCTTCTGGGCTCCTGAGACAGGGACCCGGGAGGAGAGGGAAGAAAAAGGTGGCTGTCTTACTTGGAGTTTCTATTTGCAGACCTTGAAGAAGGCAATTTAAGACTTTTAGTCTTCTTGTTAAAAAAAGACAAAACCCATTTTTCTCTGATTTAGTCTGAGAGGCAGAGTGGTGGGAAAAAAAAATAGAAAGAGGAAAAAAGGAAGCCTATAAAAAGCAGTGATAGATGGTGGCAGCTAGGCGACTGGAGGGAGTGACTGCACAGGCAGTCTGGGCCTGCCAAGCCATCGTCCGGGCCACCCTGGCCACCAGGGGCCAGCAGAGCTCGGGCGGCTTCTCCTCTTCCTGCCTGCCCCTCCCCTCCCAAGCAGGGCCCAGGGCACCCAGCCTGCCAACAGGGTCGGATCCTCTAAAAGAAAACCAGATTTTCAGAAAAGGAGTTCAGGCAGAAGATGGGAGTTAACAAAAAGAAACTCATTTCTGGGCCCTCCCTGGTGGCACAACTGGTTAAAGTGCAGCACTATGAAGCTAGCCACAGACGCTTCAGCACAAGTTCGATCCCCTGCCAGGGAGCTGACCCACATGGTGCGGCAGGCCTCTCCTGTCTCCCCGCTGCTCCCCTCAGCAGTGTACTTCGTAGATCTGCCTGTTCTGCTCCCCACTCTGTCTCTGGTGAATCTTCTCACCACCCCTGCTCCTCTGACCTGTCCCACGATTCTGTACGCATAAATAAATCAATCTTTTCTTTTCTTTAGTTGTTTTAAAGAAGCTAATTTCTACTGGAAAAATTCAACAAAAAAGAACAAGGATATTAACATGCCTGAGTTAAGACACATTTAATTTTTTTAGTATTCCAAGGGATGGTTAAGAGCATTTCCTTTTAGTGATTTCTTAAGTGTGGTTCCATTGGTTTTCATCATTGTAGTATTTTAGAAGCATGGCATCTCCCCTTTAGGCGTGGCCTCCATAGCACCCTCAGAGGCTCCCAGGAGGGCCCACTGAGCTCTCCCCACCCTGTACAACCTCTCAGTTCAGACAATGCATTTGAAAAGGACCTGTCTGGTCTCAGGCAGTGGTAGCAATTTCCTGTTTCCTTGCCTCAGCTCTCCTTCCCCTGTGGGAGTCTGGGGTCCTGTCTGGGGGTGGCAGAGGCCCCAAAGCAAGTCAGCACCGGTTTGGAGCCAGATCTGTATGCAGAAATAAATAAATCTTAAAAAAAAATAAAAAGAGCCTGGATCACGGATGACTGTGCAGTTGTCCTATCAGTCCTGGGTTGTTTAGCTCCAGACTTAGTTTATACAAGAGGACGACTGACTGGTACCTCTTTAAGGGACATATTTGGGCATTTTGCCACCTATAGCTTATTTCACCTTGATATGGTAGAGAGAGCAGTGGGCAGAAAAGTGTGCAGAGGCACTGCTGGGGGGCAGGAATATTAGGGGGAAAGTCTGTCCTCAATGAACTCTACAGATACAGGTTTTGTGGACTCCACCCCAGACACTGGAACTCCAAATCCCAGCATCACCAGAGAGAGGATTGCTGGGACTTGAGGGTGGAGCTAAGCAGCCATGTGGGCTTTGGGGGCCTCTTGGCCTCGTGAATTTTGACTTGTGTCTTGGCTTTTTGCTGGCTTTCAGTGTGCTATTGGGGTTCCACGTCAGCAGAACTGGTAGGACGCATTAACCAACTTCTCTCTCGCTTTTCTTGAGTTATTCAAGGAATAAATAAACCCATTATTAATCCTTCTGTGTGCGCCTGCACTTGAATCTTATAAGTGCCTTTAAGTGCATGGGTGAGGACCCACAGTCAGGCAACCCAGTTCACACTGGAGGTTGCCCTGGAACAGTGAGCAGAGGGTGAAGTTGGGCAGTGGTCATCAAGCTCCTTTAACTGGAGTAGATTCAGGAAGAATCCTCTGGTGGGGGAGAAAAGGCTGGGGTTGACCAGGTGCCCGGAAACCAGTTAGGGAGTTGGGGGCGAAGGTCCACGAGAGAGATGACAGGGTATGAACCAGACCATTGGTAGGGTGATGGAGAGCAGGGAAAGACACTGACAGACAGGCAGCATGTGCAATTAAGAGGTACCAGAGGAAGGACCCCAGAGAAGTGGAAAAAGAAGCCATTTGGGACGCTGATGCGTGAGGGAGGGGACAGGAGAACAGGGATTGCTGAACTCAGAAAGAGGGCGGCCACTGAGCCAGGCGCTGCCCAGAGACCACAGCCACATGAGGAATAGTAAGTGCTCACCTTGCCGGAGCTCGGGAGCCAAAGAGATGGGTTAGGGGTCCCCGAGGAGGGTGAAGATGGAGACCTAGAGGTAGATATTCTCAAGCAAGACCAGGGAAGTCGCCAGAAGGCTGTAAGGAAGGGAGACTTGTTCCTGCTCATAGCCCATGCACTTGGCTCTCTGTATTGCCCCTGTGACTGGGCTAGAGGACAGGGCTGAAGAGGGTGAGGAGACGGGTCCCCACTTTTAGCCTCCTCAAGAAGAACTCCGGGGAGGTTCCACAAGGGGTCCTTGGCAGAAAAACAGCAGTCCTAATGCACCCCTGCCCCAGGACTTGGTTGTAGCCCCAATTTTCCCCAGCCCACCCTGTGGTTAGAGTCACACGTGGGAGGTAACAGGGGTGGGCGAAGTTAGGGGCAGCAGCCTGGAGAGGAGACCAGCAAACGGCCAGCACCCTCCTCTCCCTCCATCAGAGCCTGGAGGCAGGGGCTGGGGTGAACCTCCAAAACCTTTTCCACGGAGCTCGAAGGAGCGTCTTAGGCTTTCTGGGAAACAGGCTGACCTTTCTAAGTGGATTTTATTTCTGCTCAGCGGCCAGGGAACTGGGCTTCCTGAACCAATGGGAAGGTGCCCCGAGGGCTAAGAGCTGTGCATGGCGGGGGTGGGAGGACAGGTCTCTTTGCCCTCCTGAAAGACATGTCCTCCCCTCCTCTGGGCCCTTGCTGTACCCTGAATTGGAACTACTGGCTCCGTGCTGTCACCCCAAAAGCTCGGGCTCAGTAGATCCCACTTGGAGGGTGCTGTATTCCCTCCCTTCCCCCACCCCCCAACCTCAGGCTCACTGATGACAACCCCCAGGGGACCAGGGAGGGAGTAGGCAACTGTTTGGGGGCCTTTGGAGCACTTTCCCCTTTCAATAGCTGATTAGACTTTGGGGGACCCAAGCTGAGTTTTCAGGAGATGGGACAGCCTGTTGCACAGTGGAGGCGGGACACTTCCAGGCTGTGCCCCTTGAAGGCTGCCTGCCCTTAGGGAGTCCTCTCTCTCCTCATCGGTGTTCGCTTCCCATCTATGGGGGGGTCAGAGCCATCTGGGGGCTTGTTGGAGCACAGCTTGCCCCCTCCCCCCACCGTCAGTGTTTCCATTCATTTGGTTTGGGGCAGGCCCCTGGGGACTGTGCCCCTGGGCGGGTGACTGACCATTGTGGGCTTTCTCAGGACAGACAATCTGGACAATGCTGGGCAAACCGGAAGATTGGTCACCTTCGCCCCGGGTGCTCTACCATCTGTCCAGTCTTGGAAGCTTTGGCCCTGGCTCTGTAAATACCCCCTGCAGCTGGACAGGACTGAGCAGGACTGGGTGGATGCGGGGTGCACTGTCCTCTCACACAAGT